ACGAAATACACACTTTGCTTCATAAAAAACAACAGCGTAAGTAACTATAAAGTTCGCTTTAATGCAACGTATAAAGATGTGGTACATAAAAATCGGCATGTTCTCTTATCTGTGGGGGGGAGGGGGGATTTATTGGCAGTTAAAAGCTCTAAAGAGATGTGTAAAGCTCATTTGATGGTTGTGAGCTAAACTAAAGTATCGGATGACGTCGAGAGAATGAGGATAACCGAAAGGAACAATATACAATATCAACTGAAGAGTGACAGTGATGATGGCAGGAAATTGCGTTTGAAGGACTTGTTGATTTGATTCGGACGGACGGACGTCCTCGTCCCCTTCCCAAAGGGTTGGCAATAACAAGAAACAAAACAAAATAAAAATGGGAAGAGCAAGCAACGAGGTTGTTGCGGCCATCTGGCGAGGAAGCGGTAAACGGTGGGCGAAAGAGAGAGAGAGAAAGAGAGTCGGAACACGTGCGCGCGTGCATGACATCTGTCCATGAAATCCGGTAGCTCGCAGGTCGGAGGCGGCGTCGGTTACAAGAGGAGGTGGGTTGTTTTCACAAAGGATCATCCCCGAAGGATCAGCGACCGACGCGCTGCACCAAAACCCACACCGATTTCCAAGTGGAATGATGATGATGTTGATGTACCAAACCACCATCACCGCACCCCTTTTCAAACATGCAGCGAAGGGCGGACGGATTGAAATATGCATTTAAATTGTCGGGCGGCGGTGGCGAGACTAGTCGTTTTTTTTTTCGTTCTTCTTTTGTTTATTAAGCGCGCCTAGTGAAATATATCCGACACAATTTGCAACGCCACCAGGGATGACGACGTGCGATTTGTCAACTTTATTATTTTTTTTTGACGAGCGGCGCCCCCTGACGGCATTACATGCATCATTCTTTGACGGATCCTCCAGAAATCAAGTTACACAAGCAATCATATTAATAAAAAAAAACAATTGATTCGAGAATTTCGGACAGACATCGCTGCCAACAAAAAAAAGGACGAAATTAAAGATAATTTAGATACTCAATAAATCCAACCCCCATAATAAGCGGCGTTGTCGAACATGTGTCGATTTCTGCTTCTAAAAGCGGACGGTATTTTGTAGTAGTAGGAGCGCTTCTCTCCCGGGGGCGGCGTTAATTTCCCGATCTAGATAACTGTGTAAATGATTAAACACGTCGCGCCTGCATTATTCATATGTTTCTCTGTGTGTGTATTTATGTATACATACAAGTTGCGGCTATGTAAAACGAGCACACGCGTTTATATACAACATACATGCATATGAACGGTGCCGCCTCCGACGGTTTCATTCATAATTCATGTCGCCGCCTCCGACATAAAAAAACTGTATACGGAAGGAGCGAGCGCGAGAAGAGGGCGAAAATACACGACCGGAATCGCTTATAAATTTATAACATTCCGCTGAGATAAGAGAAAACAAATAGAAATGACAACAGCCGCGAGTAACTCGGTCCATAAATTCAAACTCGCACAACCGAAACCCCGCATTCCGCATGATAAATAACAAACGAATGTCCAAAAAAAAAAATAATAAGAGAATTTCGCAATTACTAAACCCGAAAAGTCTTTGATAAAATGATAAACTAATTACAATTAGGCAAATATCACAACGTACATTTGTTCATCTGCTTGCATAATATATCATCAATTTAATTAATTTCATTAAAAATTAGTTAAACCCCTATAATATCGTTAACTACATTACCACAATAAATATCTGCAAGATATGCGTGCATTTAACAGTTAGTTAATTAAATGAAAAGGTAATTTAAAGTTTGCATAATCGCCATCTGCTGTCAATTTAATTAATTTCTATAAAAGTTATGCAACTGTATTTGATTATACTGTATCATCAAGTACCTCATTAATTAACTTAAGATGTAATAAAATAAACAGTTAATAAAAGTAAATTGTATTTAATTAAAGCAAATCGATTAGCTGAAGTAATTGTAAATAAAAACGTATTTAATTTTTTGTTTCGGTCAAAATCAATTTTTCACGGTGACTTTGATCCAACAGTAAATTCATTGCTTTCTATTATAATTCACATCAAAAGTTATAGTAAAAAAAAAATAGAAGGTCAAACTATAATCAATTTGTAATTGATTTTTAACATCGAGAATTCGTTGCATAAACAAATACACGCACGCAAAACAAACAAAAGATTATTGAATTAAAATCGAGTAGCGCGGTGCAGTGCGATAACTGCATGTTTATTACGTGATTACGATGCAATGAAATCAAATGCAATTGCAATGCTTTTATTAATAGCTACTATAAAATGTTTTTTTTTTTTTTTTTGGGGCGATAAGATGATGATGAAATCTAATCGGTTCGTAGAAAGCGTTAGGTCATCGACCAAACTGCAATAATTTATTGCTCTTTAATAATTAATAATATTTTTTTTTTAATTTCTAGTTTATTAATAATTTAGTGAACTAATTAAGTTGAAATTACATAAAGGGATCAGATTTAGGCAGCAAGTGCAAAAGGACGAACGGAATTGGTTGGAGTTTGAGAGAGAAGGTGAATGCTGCTGCTGACTGAAAACGGTTCGAAATGGAGGTCGCATTCCGTCCGCAAACAACGTTATGCAACGGAAATTGCTCTTAAATTATTGAGCCATAATTGGAATATGAAATGTTTGCGTTGCATTTCGAGGACCGCATCTAAACGGTTGATTCAATATTGGTGCTGAGTCGGTCGGTTGGTGGAAGAACCAGAGCAGAAACGACGCCGCCGCCGTCGGTGATTCTCTCTCTCTTTCCACCACAAACGTCGAGCGTCGTCGTTTCCTCCTTTATTGATGTTTCATAGATACATCGTAAAAGGAGAATCTTCTGCACGAAACGCAAATACATCCATATCCTCCTCCCACGCAATTGTGTTGCAACGACTTTGTTGCATTTCGCGTATTGCAACCGAAGTTTTAAATCTTCATTAGTAGAAAGGCGCGAGTAGGAGTTAAGTGATCAATTACGCAAGCCATTTTCTGGGTGAAAGATCATCATAACTAACTGAGAACGAAGAATGCAACAGAGAGCAAAAGCAGGAGGACTCGATGCAACAGCTCGTTTATAAATAGCTTCGGATGCCATAAAACGAAATGATTTTAATTAGTTGAAACGCACAAAAAAAAAAAAAACAAACACAGACACTGCTAAATAAATAAACGTTTAACGAGCGCGCATACACACACGAAACATTCGATTTATTTAAAGCGCGCAAAAATAATAATGCAACGAGTGGAGCGAGCGCATGATTATTCTGTTCGAAGCAATTTAAAAAAACGAACGAAACACAATTGTCGACCAGTTTGCTTTGCTTTACTCTACTCTCTTTTATTTTGTGTGCGAGTGTGTTTGTTTTATTGTGCAGTTGGGGTTGTTTTCGAATGTCCCGCCCAGTTCGAGGGAGGCCGTGGAACAAAAGAGTTAATCGGAAACCCGCTGCTGCTGCTGCCGCCGCCGCCATCGAATTAAAAATGGATGAAACCCAAAGCGGCGTTGATTTTTCTATTCTCGTTCATCCCGACTATAAACTACTACTACTGGTTGCAACAACCAAACAACAATCACACGCACACACTTTAAATATGTACAAACTTTGAAAGTGCGCACGAACAACATCATCAAAACCATAACACACGATGCAAAAGGGAGAAAGATAAAACAAAACATATACATCCACAGCCAACGGGGATGAACTATAATTGTCCGGAAGATTCGCAATCGCTCTATTAACAATTATTATCAACGGGTTTGCAAATAAAATTACCCCTTTCCAAAAAATGACCTCAAGTCCTTCTTCAGGTGACGCAAAACGGTGATTTCACGAGCGCGCCAACTTCACAATGATTCAAATTACCGCAATTATTGAAGCAGGCTGTGAAAATCTGAGGCGAAATCTAATTTGATGATGGTTTAAAAAACAATTGCAAAACAAATTCATCTTTCAACTGTTCGATGTGTGAGACAAATAACTCTAAATGTCACGATGACGTTTGGAGGATGCGAATTTGTATGTGTCGGAGGAGGAGAGAAGCCACGCATTAGAAGAGTGTGCACGAATGCATTCGGAGGATCGAGGTGGGAGTTCTATCAAAGTGTAGAGAAGTTTTGGAAAAGCGTCAGCATATAATGGGAACGTTTCGCAGACGTTTGTTTAGAACAATTTGACAGTGAATCGAAGTTGGCGTGATTGGACTAACTGTAATTTAAGTTTCCGGAAAGTTGGCGAATTCGGGTCGAGCGCTGCTGCCGTAATAGTAGTAGTAACACAAATTCCGCCAAACTTCCGAAGAATAAATACACATAATAAAGTGGTAACATTTTTTTCGCAATTTACTACTTACATGAGGGGTATTTACAGAGAAGTGGTGGGTAATGGTGTGCGGCTTCGGCTCCACCTTGGGCCTCTCGATGTCCGTCAGCCGCCGCACGTTTTCCTTAGAGGCTATCTTCAGGCAAGTCTGAAACAAAAAAAAAATGCATTAGTGAAATGATGATAATCAAAGAAAATGATTACAACATGATGTTTGCAACCCCTTCTTCAAGATTGTGATCTGTAATGGACAAAAGGCAACAAACCGAAGAGGAGGAAGGGTTTTGCAGATAGCAATCGTCCAGTAACTAAACGCTTTAAGCCTACTATTGTTAAAATGTTAAGGGGGATGATATTTAATTGTTTTATTTCGATGATGATTTTAATGGTTATAATAGTGAAAGGAGGGTGTTTCTTCGGCATCGAAGCATTACGTTGGTGCAACAGCAGCAGTTGGAGGAATGCCAGCCGTTTACCTTGAGGACACAAGGCTCGAGCACTGACCCCAGAGCAACTCAGCTGACCGCATGATGCACACACACGCACGCAGTCCTTCGAACCGCTCTTCTACCTCCGTCCGGATAGAAAGAAGAGAAGACACCTTTCTTCCTCAACAACAACAACAACAAAAAAAAGACAAGATGAAAAGAAAATTTCACATCGCAGCAGGTAAGAAACAACGATGGCTGAGCAACAAGAAAGAGATGGAGAGAGAGCCAAAGTCCGAAGAGACAAAGCAAAAACCAATTAAACTAATTACGTGGGGCATCGCAAATTGAACGCGCTCGTAATTAGTCGTAGAATGTCGACTTGCTGCAATCCATCTATCAAAATAAACATGTTTTTCTCGTACAATTCCCCCCATCATTATCAGAGAGAGAGGGTCAAATAATGCAGCGAAGGGTCGAAATCAGAATGAAAGCAAATTGGATTGGAATATAATATAATAAATATTCCCAAGTCGGCTGCTACACAACCCCCCTCCCATTTTGGATGGACACGTGCTGCCCTCTACCTGTATCCCAGAAATCATTCAAATCCAATAATAATAACAACAACAACTCGAATATCCGCCGCAATCGAACTATTTTATAAATAGATATATAGTGTATAGCGGAATATAATTATGGCTGCAATTGAAGGCGATTACGTGAAAGCGAAAGTGTGCGGCAAGAATGGTAATAGCGGTGCTCTATTGCACATGACACATTGCTGATACGGCGCGATTATAGCAGCAAAAGCAGCTCTCTCACTCTCTCTTGCTTATAACTGTCAATTGTGTGTGTGTGTCTGACTCTCACTCGGTTGTCCGTTTCGTAAACGTTTCCATTGATCCATCGATCCATCCAGCTCGCACGTCAAAGAGAATTAACTGGCTCACGAATACTATTACAACATCATCATCATCACAATCTACGCCCTCTCTTCTTTATAACTTACAAAACGCGCGCACCAATTAATCATTAATTAATTACAGCAACCCGATTTCGAATTAATATTTCAGTTAATTTGAAAGATAGAAACAATTGAAGGAGGGAATTTGGAAAACGGTTGTGTCCATTGTGGATCAGGTAGCAGTGGAATAAAGAAGAAAAAAAAAAAGAAAACGACGTCTGTGAATGAAGACCGCCACTACAATGGGGAATTCTTCTTCGCCGAAGGGACGAAGAACCTTTTTTTTTCTTTCTTTTTTTTTTTAAATTTATTTTCTTGCTCCTGTTGTTGCGTAATTCCATTATTCACCATTCCACGTTTACCATGAGAGAAATAATGGGCAGCTGCCGTTGCGCTAAAGAAGTTTTCGCGAAGGAAAAGCGCGTTCGCGCTGCGAATCAAAGTGCGCGTTTCACGTGCAACCTCGATATTACGGCATGTCGCAATTACTCTCCGCGTAGCACGCGCTCAATTCGAATAACTATGCAGATCTCCGACCTCGTTCTCACTGCACATTTCATTATATAGAAACTGCTACAGGGTTGCTATGGATAACCTACATCAGTGGTTTCCAAACTTAATGTTACTACGCCTCGCTCAAAATGTATCTATACTTGATGGATTCCCCAAACATTCAGCTTTCATGTGCATATAT